GACTCCCGCTGAGGGTGTTGATAAGACCGATGCGAGGTCGAAATTGCAGTCCACCCTGGATAAGAACAACATTTGGGAAAGCAAGGCTATGTGAAATTCAATGGTAACGTCAGTTCAACTCATATAATTGTGGGAAAATTCTACTACCAGTCCTTCATCACCTTAGATGAAATAGGGTGAATATATCTCAAATTATTTTAATGTTTGGCAGCGGCCAAATGACAAGCAGGTAGGAAAATAAGGATGGGCATAATGTAAGTCAGGAGTCCTGCAAACGGCACCTGGCACCGGTGGTGGAGATGATAAAGCTTCACTAAACCCACTTGTAGCGACACACTCTTAGACAATATTGGATGAAATGAGAGCACATAATTGTATGAATAAATGGATGGGCCATATAAGTGGGGTTGAGAGAAAGAGATGCGGCACTAGAAGGTTGAACAAAACATAGAGGCGAGGAGTGATGCCAAAACGGTTGAACAGAAAATTGATCAAGGGGGTTGTAAATCTGTGCTTATGATGGCGCCTCTCACTGACGATGCCGGCGAAACGTTTGGGAATGTACCCAGCCAATGGTCCAATGGTAGAAATCACGAATACTATGGCAGAGGACACGGGACTAAGTACGTTCTACAAGGTCTCTCTGGTGATCCAAACAAGTTGCGAAAACAACTCTATAAAAATACTAATGATTAATTTGATTCGCTAAACATTGAACATTAAGCTATTTAACTGCATAAAGATTATATCACTTATTTAGAAATTAATTAACAAGGAGAAACTAGGTAAAAGATTGAATATAGATGTATACAATAATACGACGAGTAACTGGGTTACGATGCATCTCCTGAAATAACCTTGCAGATGATACTTTCATTTCGTAGGAATTGCATGAAGAAGTGATTCGTAGGTTGATTCCCTTTGTACTGCAGCTGCTTGGCTTTAATACGACGTTCAGATTTTTGCCGTACACGAGATACCCTTCCTTGTTTCAGGTGAAGATGGGCTGAGCTTTCGTTCATCATATGATGGACATCATTAGAGCTGGAACTCATTATTGTCAGTTTCACGTTTATATTATTTCAAGAAGGCTATCCGACTATATCTTACCTCGTATAAATATTCATAACTAAAAACGAAAATATAGGCACAGATAGACTAGGATGGCTTGGTTAATTATCTTTTATATTGGTCATTCTACTTTTGCTCGTGTATGTGCATGCGTGGGTCCAAACATCTATAAGCAATACCGATCTTAAATCAGAGTAATTAAAAAAGCCAAATGTCAACTTCTAGTCATCAAGGCTCAAAAAAAGTCCTGGCCGAGACTGCGTAAGTCCGTGAACAAGTATATTTGAGATAATGAGTTGTAAACTTGTATATAAATCAGGTTACGAAGCAAACTGCCCAAACCTCTCAGGCTAGGGTCATTAAGATTTAACAACCCAAGGAAATGCCGTACTAGGCTGCATAATCTCGTATCTAGTTTGCTTGATGAGCTTAATCTAACATGTTGGACGAGTGTGAGTAAAGTAAGAACCATCAGTGAGCGGACAAGTTGAATCACTTTACATCTATATTCAAATTAATGAGTCAATAAATACGGTTAAGGATGATACTCTGCTATGATGATGTCCGTCATGAGGACGTAAGCTTAGCACATGGTCACCAGAATCGAAGGTAATTGCTTTGGAAACAGCGTAAACAAGAATGTTCCAGTAGAGCCAATCGACAGCTGGCCAAGAGGAATCCGTCGTCGTCTTATCGTACGATCTGCCTTCGAATTTCTTCACCAAACACTTTCACTCGAAATGAAGGCAAGCTCAACAATTATGCAACAAGCGATTCTTCGAAATCAATTTTTATTTGCATAAGTAGTTCTTACTTAACTTTATACCACCGTCTATTAATTGTAATAGCCTTGCTTGTCTTCGTGTTAAAAGAAGACGTAACATAATCAGCAAACCTACCCGTATCATCACAAGACCATTATATCTCCTGCCCATTATCTTCCACATCCTTGGCTACTTCTGTCCGTTGAACCCAGCTCCCTTTTGTGTTCCCATAATCATTATCGAATAACCCAGCACCTATCACCAACCTAAGGTCGTCCACACAAGTAAATAATCTTGTGGCAGCCAGATCTCGATAATTAATAGTAGATTTCTCTAAAAGATAACATAACTGAAGAAAGTGTTAGAGTTTCTTTAAACACTATTTTTATCCTTCAATTTATTACTAGTTTGCCTAGCTTGTAAGAAAGAAGGTATTACAGCAAAATTAAGACATGAGAAAAGGTCTCCGCCTGTCTGTCTCCGTCTCAAAATGTGTACCTCAGTAAAGAGACATTATTATCAATTGGGCTCAATGGATAATTATTTTCCAGGAATAAAGCTGTCAGTCATTCCAACTCATTAGTCGAATAGTTGCTATCCGATAGTCTCATAGTCTCAATAATCAGACTTCAAAATTTTAAACGTAGTCTTGTAAGTATGGTTGAAAAGAAAATATAAAAGAGTCAACATATTTTGGCTTCCTGTAAACATCTCTTAAGTTACCATCTTCTCTAATGAGCAGAATATCCAAAAAAGTAAGGACCTATTCTCCTATATTTCCATTGTAAATCTATGTTCCTTCCACAGTTGTTAAGTGAAAGTATGAAACTATCCGAGCTTTTCTTACCATGAAACAAAAGTCATCTATGTATAAGCCCAACAATTTAGGGATCAGTGTTGCCTCTTCCAAATAGTGTTCCTCAAATTTGGCCATATAGTTGTTAGCCAAGATGAAAGCTAAGTAAGCTCCCATCGCAGGTCTGTTCATAAAACTTACCAGCAAAGGTAAAATAGATGCTACTCATGAATAAGTTAAGAAGTCTAAGGATGAAGGTTATACTCAACCTTATTCCTTGTATCACCTCTATATGCTTTTCCAGATTTTGCACTAGAGCCTAAATGGCTTCTTGAACAGGAATATTTGTGTACATAGACACATCAAAACTTATAGACGTATCCCACTCTGAAATTATCAGCTGATCAACCAATTTTAAAAAGAGCAACTGGGTTTAGATTAATCTCCTGAGATAAGATTGTTAAAGGACCTAACCTTCTTCGTTTCACCGTAAACGAGGGAGGTCTCGTAGACTGCGTCAACCTGAACGTCGTATAAAAGCCAAACGGCTGTATTACAAAGAGATTCAGACGTCCTCTTCCGGTGAGATCGACCTAAGAATTTATTCATGCACTTTCATGCGAAATTAAAGTCCCCCCAACAATTTTACAAACTCCTAATAATTTGTAATTGAATATAGCCAAAAATCAGCAGCCTTATTTAGGTGTATGGAAAAAAATGAGATTTTATGCACACTTCATTTATTACTTATGCTTAAGCTAATAAGGACACCCTCCTTGTAAACTTTAAGGAAACCGTAAGCCGTGGGGACTCTTGCGTCCCTCTGGAGTAGTGAATGCCCTTTCCACCTCTATGTTTCCCCATTAGTTACGCATGCCTTAAGAACATCCTTCAGTCTAGGCTTAAGTCTTTCGATTGGATATATGTGGTAGTATCGTTTAAATGAACAGGTATTTTTATACACAACTTGATGTAACAATTACTACTGCTTTACCTTTGTCGACTTTCATAACAATTGTATTATTGCAATTTAAATATCCGGAAGCCCAAGTGAAAACACAGGATTGCCTTGGCATAATAAAACTAGATTAAGAGGTTAGAAAAGGTGGTTTCGTAATTGGAAACGTAAGGTCTACTCATATCATTGTGGGAAAATTCAATCAACAGTCTTCTTATCGCCTTAAACGAAATAGAGTAAATATATCATATATATATATATATATATGATATACTAGTAATCTCGAAAGCCTATTTATAATCGATAAAATTAGCGGCATAATGCCTGAACCCACAATCAATGAGGTCCCTGTATGGCATACTCATAAAGCATAAAGCAGAAAAGAGGGATATTAATACAGCATACGAGTTGTCCTTAAAAGAATGAGAATCAGAAAATTTGGATCATTTTAACAGAAGCTGCTAACAATGTTTAAATTATTTAAGAAAAACAAAAGCAATTTTAGAGGGATACCAAGAGCCCCCAAAAAGTATTTGGCTCACTCTATATTATCACGATCAACTGGAAATGAGATTGCCGCCTGTGCGTTTGTCTCGCCAACGCCCTGATCGCAGTGCAAGATTGCTTGATGGCGAGCCAGATAGCCGACAGGAACGAGCCGACGACATACCAAACAAGTTGTTAAATGGAGTCGCCTACAGGCAGTTAAGTGGGCCAGCAGGCTACGCAGAACCTTCCCAGTGTGCCGAGAAGCGAGTAAGGTAGTCAATCCTATCAAAAGGTCGGTACCACAGATTAAGCAGAGCGAGGTCTCGGTACTCAAAAGATGCAACAATAGGCGCAGCAAGTGAGCAGGTGATGCTGAATAAGAGCAATCAGTTGCTATGTGCAGCAACTAAAATAAGATAATAGTACAACACTGATAAGAGCAAGTATAACGATAGTTTACAACTGAATTGATGAGAACGGTGGTTAGGCATTAGTTATGCAAATAATAATGGTGTAACCGGGTGTTTTAATAGTGATAATGATAATGAAGCTACTAATATTGCTGATTTTATTAAGATTTTGGAATAAATATGGATATTAAAGAAGCGTATCGATGACAACTTTGCAGGTGCCATAAATTATCACACTGTGAGGAAAGATGGAAGTGAAATGAGAAGAGATTTGGGTAAATTAAGATTCATTCGCTAACCAGTTGCG